GGACCAGAGGACCAGCAGACCACAGGACCAGGGGACCACAGGACCAAGGACCAGAGGTCTAGGGGACCGCATGCCCCAGGGACCCTTGGCCGCACCTCGCAAACAAGGGTTGGCTGCACCTTGGAAAAAAAAAACCAGGGCCCCCTGAACCCCTAAACCCTAAACCCTAAACCCTGAACCCCTAAACCCTATCCTCAACCTTGCCAAGGAACTGCGCCCGTCGGCCGAGGGTCTGCAGCTCCTCCTCCTCCGCTGAAAGATCGCTCCTTGGCTGCTTTCCAGGGCCAGGGTTTAGGGTTTAGGGTTTAGGCTTTCCGGGGCCCCCCATAAAGGTCCCAAAAAAAACCCAAAATGACCTAGGGTGTCATTTTGAAAATTAGGAACCTCATGTTAAAAATTCGAAACCTTAAAGGTCCCAAAAAACACTAAAATGACATAGGGTGTTATTTTGAAAATTAGGAACCTTAAACTGAAAATTAGGAACCTTATATTGGAAATTCGAAACCTTATGTTGGAAATTAGGAACCTTATATTGAAAATTAGGAACCGCATTGGTATCCCTTTGTGTACAGGGCTTCTCGAGTTTGGGGTCTCGGCGTTCAAGAAACCGGGTCTGATGTACAGCATTGGTATAGAGAACAGGTGTGCAGAGTCTAAGAAAATCCAGGTGTAGGGCATAGGGGCATAGGAAATAGGTAGTGTTCCCGCTCGCTTAACATGCATGTTCAACAACATAGAGACATGTCTAAACACGTTCAAAAATCGAAATCGTGTTTAACACTCACAGTACTACTGCAAAAAACAGTACGCACGGCTCACCTTTTTAGACGCGAAAAAGTTTTAGACGCTGTGGTGCCTTCCACAGCGCCGCACACACACAGTTGTAGACGCACCCACTGATCTCTAGGGAAGGCCTTCAAGGTGGGTCTTTGAGCTGAAATCGTGGTGCTCAAAATCGGTCAAGCAGATCACGGCAGAGATTTTGGTGTAGGAGGAGCCAACAGTCGTGACCAAAATCAAGGTCCCCAAGCGCGGGAGCGCGGGAGGCTTTGGGTGGAGGTGTCCATTTTTGCCTTAGCAGGCTCGGGGCATATGACAAGTATTGAGCGTAGTGACGGTCCGACGGTGATCCTGCTCATCAATCTGCTCAAGCACTTAAAGGTCCCGAATGGAATTTCTAGTTGGGGTACACTTACAGGTTTAGGTGAGGCCGCAAGAAACTTCCGCTCTCGAGGCCATGCCGATCTAATCTAATCCAAAAGCCGCCGTTCATCTGCACAGGGTGAATACAACTTTAACTTGCCCTGTACATTTAGTTTGTTGAAGAATATGCCAGCATAGATCCCCATGCAAACCAAACTGCTTGGGGAATTTCGTCGGATTCAGGCCACCAAGGTTCAAAAAACAACACATCACAGAACAATTAGCAGGTCCCAGTCTCAAGACACCCCTGTCCATCGTATCCTCGACGTGAGAGACGTACCTTGTGCTGGGGTTGTACAGGGTTTAGGGTTTAGGGTTTAGGGGCCTCTCATTGAAGCTTGTGCGCATCATGGGCCATGTCTTCACAGGCTCGGGAGGTCACATGGTAATCAGTCTAGTCGCGGACTTGCGGCAGTTTCTCTGGGGCACATATCCTAGCACCTGGGCAGCCTAAAAATCTGATCTCTGGCACTGCAGTTCAGCCTTGATGGGCCTTTTTACACGACACCTATCGCAGGACGTGCTTTGAAGAAAGCCCTGCAGCGACCAGGTAGATGGGTGCATGTGAACAGATCATACTCGCTACGCAGAAAGCTCTGCCTTGTCCGAAGATACTCTTTGTATAAATCAAGTATATATATGTATATGTATATACAATGTATATCTATATATATATATAATATAGACACAGTATACAGGCTCCAGCCTTGCTGCCCATATGCTGGATCCAGGCTTGGGTGTCTTCGGTTTGAACGTGGCGCTTGCACTCACGTCGAGGCATTCTGACATAGGAAACCCTAAACCCTAAACCCTAAATAGGAAAGGTATTTAGAGACTCAGAGTTTACAGTGTGAGAGCTTGCCTTTTCTGGACACCGGAGCCGACTGAAATCCTAGGGTGTAGGGTAAACCCCAAACGACAAACTCTAAGGACTTTAGGTGGGACCCCTAATAGGGACCCTTAATCCCATTGCCCCAATAACCTACAAGAGTCCCTATTAAGGGTCCGTCCTAAAGCCCTTAGACAAACCTTCTCAACAAGCCTACGCATATGAAGCTCTGCTGGAAGGGCGCAGCAGCCCAAAGATGTGAAGGTACTTGAAGGTCGTTCCTGCCAGGGAAGCAAAGAGCCCATAGACCGAAGGAGTTATCTTTAAGGGCATGTCACGTTTTCTTCAGGGTTTACGGCTTGCTGTTCTGAATCACTCAGTGCTGGGAGGGACTGTGCTCTTGTGGGGAAGGGCCATGAGCAATGAGTACAGAGGATGAAAAGGAAGGCCCACGGAGTTCGCAGGAGCCCCTCCCAAAAACAGCCAAGTCTCATAGCTCATGTTTATGTAGCTTTCGTTGAACCTTGTCACTTCCACCCAAGTGGTCGGCTAGGGGCTTGAGCTTGGGGTTTGCGCTAAGCCCAACCTCTCTTATGGAGATGGTATCCGAAGTTGATCAGAAAGGACTCATATATTCCGAGCCAT